TTTAATCGCCCTTCCGCGGTTTCTTTAGACAAGATCGTTTTAAGCGATATTTTCGAAGAAGGAAAATTAACCGTGGTAACCGAAAAAGAGGGTGGTTTTGTTAAATGCGAGGATTGTTTGATTAAATTAGCTGGGTATGTGATACAAATAAGAGAATTAGAGGAGATTAAGCCAGTTTTAAAAACGTTGAGGACCCAAAAACATTGGAATCCTCACGCTTATTTCTTTGTGATCACAACGAGCACTTTTAACGATACAAATAAAGTTTTAGCGAAAATCGTTGAGGAATTATCCAAAGTTAAAATGATTAATGTATTGATTTTTGTACCTCTTCATTAAAATTCATTAAATTTTCAAATTTTTATACTTGTTTTATTGACGTATCTAAGAGCACGAATAAGAGAGAGCAATATTGTTAAGAATAAAATTTGCTACAACTTCTGTTCTAAAAGTTTTTTTGTAACATGCTTCGATTCCCGAATGTTACCATTAGCTAATGGTAAAACAAGGAAATTCATCAAATTTTCAAATTTTCGTATTTTTCTCAATATTGACGCATCTGAGAGCAAATATACAAGAGAGCAATATTGTTAAGAACAAAATTTGCAACAACTTTTGTTCTAAAAGTTTTTTGATAACATGCTCCGATTCCCAAATGTTACCATTAGCTAACAGTAAAATTGTTAATAACAAAATTTGCAACAACTTTTATTCTGAATATTCTGATTATCATCTAATAAAATAATTCCATCTTGATAAATTAATTTTTACTATACACTTTATCACAAAGTTGAAGTCAAGGTTATCCACCACCATAATTTTAAAGTTTACGCAAGATCATATCACAAAAAGTTCGCACGCCACGTTTATAGCATTAAACTCACTACAAATTTATTCATTCCGCAAAATGTTTCCTAACTACATCATTTTCACAATTTTATTCCAAAACGTAAACCCGACTTTATTACCACTCCCCGACGAGCTTTCTTCGAGAATTTCGTTATCTAAATGCGTTTCAAAAGTAGTCAAATACTTGGATAATGGAGAAACGATTTCCGTCTCGTTATCAACGAAACCACCACGATTTAATCGCCCCTCCGCGGTTCCTTTAGACAAGATCGTTTTAAGCGATATTTTCGAAGAAGGAAAATTAACCGTGGTAACCGAAAAAGAGGGTGGTTTTGTTAAATGCGAGGATTGTTTGATTAAATTAGCTGGGTATGTGATACAAATAAGAGAATTAGAGGAGATTAAGCCAGTTTTAAAAACGTTGAGGACCCAAAAACATTGGAATCCTCACGCTTATTTCTTTGTGATCACAACGAGCACTTTTAACGATACAAATAAAGTTTTAGCGAAAATCGTTGAGGAATTATCCAAAGTTAAAGTGATTAATGTGCTGATTTTCGTCCCGATTAAGTTGGAGAGTAAAATTTATAACGTTTCGAGTTGGTACCCCTATTCCGCAGGAAAATGTGGCGATGATTACAAAGTGAAGTATCTTGGGGAGTGTAAAGATGGTGAAATGACCAACGAGAATTTATTTAAAGAAAAAATCCCGAAGAATTTAATGGGGTGCACTTTAAAAGTTAGAACGAGCATAATCGAACCATTCATCGTCCAAAAAGACTCTCAAAATCTCAATTTAACCGAAGGATTAGAAATTAAATTAATGAACACGATCGCTGAGTTAAGAAATTTAACCTTTATTTATTCCTTAACTAAGAAGCCTAATTTTTATGGCGATTATTTGGGGAAGAATCATTTCACCGGGTCTTTTAGCGACCTAAAAAATGAAATGGTCGATGTTTTATTGGGATATGTCGTTTCTCGGGTGGAAACTCAACAAGTTTTTGATCCAATTTCTTCGTATTACAACGACGCTCTTGTTTTATGCGTCCCTCACGCCGAGAAATTGCGAGATTGGACCAAATTAACCGCCGATTTCGACCAATCGGTCATCTTCACGATGTTAATCATCGCTATTTTTATTACGATCTTAATCACGAAGATTTCCAAATACCAAACGAACGAGATTAAAAGATACAAACAGTTTTGGATGGTTGCTTCGAACGTGGCAAGATGCGCTTTTGCGATTACCATAAAAATGCCGAAAACTTATAAGTTGAGATTATTAATTTTGTGTTGGGTTGTTTTTAATTTTTACACTCAAACCGCGTACCAATCGACTTTAGTGAGTTCGTTGACCCGGAGGAGATATGAGAAGCAAATTAAGACTTTGGAGGAGATTATTGAGAATGGATTAATCGTGTTGTATTATCCTTTATGTCGCACTTTCTATAGAGGGCTAAATATATCATCGAATAAGCCTTTAATGACCGATAGTTGCGATGTGATTCAAAATTGTATTAATCGCACGGCTAACGAAAGAAATTTCGCCATTTGCGCCCCAAAGTTGAACGTGGAATACTTAATGGGGAATTTTATTGATGAAGATTCCGTTCCGAAGCTGTATTGCTTTAATGAAGTGGTTGCCTCTTACCCTATTGAGATGCTGATGTGGAAAGGACACCCTTTAAGAGACTCCATTAACGAGCTTGTCCATAGAATCAGCCAAAGTGGGTTTTTTCGGAAGTGGCAAAGCGACACGTTTTATAACAACACAAGGAGCTTTGAGATGAAAATTTTAATGGATAGCCACCAATCGGGGTTAAATTTGAATCAGTTAGGGGTGGGATTTGTAGCGCTGCTAACGGGGTTGTTCGTATCGAGCGTTGTTTTTTGTTTAGAATTGTTTTGGTTTTATAAAAAACCTAAAAAAGGATAAAATATACTTATTTTATAAAAGAATCAAAAAATTTTATTAAGAAAAGCGGTTATAAATCCAATTTGAAACAACTTTTATTTGAAAAATTTTTCGATAAAATCACAATTACGATTTTTAGAAAATTAGTGAATCAGTGGAGAAATTAATTTTATGAAAATATCAAAAAATGTTATTANATTGACGCATCTGAGAGCAAATATACAAGAGAGCAATATTGTTAATAATAAAATTTGCAACAACTTTTGTTTTAAAAGTTTTTTGATAACATGCTCCGATTCTCAAATGCTACCATTAGCTAACAGTAAAATAGGGAAATTCATCAAATTTTGGCATTTTTCTCAATATTGACGCATGTGAGAGCAAATATACAACAGAGCAATATTGTTAATAACAAAATTTGCAACAACTTTTGTTCTAAAAGTTTTTTGATAACATGTTTCAATTCCCGAATATTACCATTAGCTAATAGTAAAACAAGGAAATTCATCAAATTTTTAAATTTTCGTACTTTTCTCGATATTGACGTATCTGAGAGCAAATATACAAGAGAGCAATATTGTTAATAACAAAATTTGCAACAACTTTTGTTCTAAAAGTTTTTTGATAACANTTAAGAAAAGCTGTTATAAATCCAATTTGAAACAACTTTTATTTGAAAAATTTTTCGATAAAATCACAATTACGATTTTTAGGAAATTAGTGAATCAGTGGAGAAATTAATTTTATGAAAATATCAAAAAATGTTATTAAGAAAAGCTGTTATAAATCCAATTTGAAACAACTTTTATTTGAAAAATTTTTCGATAAAATCACAATTACGATTTTTAGGAAATTAGTGAATCAGTGGAGAAATTAATTTTATGAAAATATCAAAAAATGTTATTAAGAAAAGCTGTTATAAATCCAATTTGAAACAACTTTTATTTGAAAAATTTTTCGATAAAATCACAATTACGATTTTTAGGAAATTAGTGAATCAGTGGAGAAATTAATTTTATGAAAATATCAAAAAATGTTATTAAGAAAAGCTGTTATAAATCCAATTTGAAACAACTTTTATTTGAAAAATTTTTCGATAAAATCACAATTACGATTTTTAGGAAATTAGTGAATCAGTGGAGAAATTAATTTTATGAAAATATCAAAAAATGTTATTAAGAAAAGCTGTTATAAATCCAATTTGAAACAACTTTTATTTGAAAAATTTTTCGATAAAATCACAATTACGATTTTTAGGAAATTAGTGAATCAGTGGAGAAATTAATTTTATGAAAATATCAAAAAATGTTATTAAGAAAAGCTGTTATAAATCCAATTTGAAACAACTTTTATTTGAAAAATTTTTCGATAAAATCACAATTACGATTTTTAGGAAATTAGTGAATCAGTGGAGAAATTAATTTTATGAAAATATCAAAAAATGTTATTAAGAAAAGCTGTTATAAATCCAATTTGAAACAACTTTTATTTGAAAAATTTTTCGATAAAATCACAATTACGATTTTTAGGAAATTAGTGAATCAGTGGAGAAATTAATTTTATGAAAATATCAAAAAATGTTATTAAGAAAAGCTGTTATAAATCCAATTTGAAACAACTTTTATTTGAAAAATTTTTCGATAAAATCACAATTACGATTTTTAGGAAATTAGTGAATCAGTGGAGAAATTAATTTTATGAAAATATCAAAAAATGTTATTAAGAAAAGCTGTTATAAATCCAATTTGAAACAACTTTTATTTGAAAAATTTTTCGATAAAATCACAATTACGATTTTTAGGAAATTAGTGAATCAGTGGAGAAATTAATTTTATGAAAATATCAAAAAATGTTATTAAGAAAAGCTGTTATAAATCCAATTTGAAACAACTTTTATTTGAAAAATTTTTCGATAAAATCACAATTACGATTTTTAGGAAATTAGTGAATCAGTGGAGAAATTAATTTTATGAAAATATCAAAAAATTATAAATTATAAATTTGTCCGATTTATCGTCGATTAAGGTTAATTTTTCTAATTTATTTTGCCGGATTAATTCTTTTTGTGTGTCCATCTCGATTAATCGATATAATTCGGATCTGAAGAAATTTTTCGTTGCGAAATTAACCCCGCCTTGGTAGTGGAAAATTTTTAATCCCGCGATTTCTAGATTAGGAGATAAAAAACACAAACAAATTTAAATTAAAATATATTTTTTAATAAAATAAACGTTTAATTAACAGTAGGAATCGTAGCTTCATTAAAATACTGCGTCGTCACGGCGAATTGAACCGCATCGTGCGTCGTAGGAAAAATCCTAAACATATTCCTCTTCGTCTCGATCAATCCACACTTCAAAAGCGTTTCATAAACCGGCGCCGAACACCCAGCAATAAAAACCGGCACATTTACTTTATTAAAACATTTACAAACCAAATTTAACATCGACGCCCCCGATGGGTCGATATAACTCAAAGCGGAGAAGTCCAAAATAACGCATTGAACGTTCGAATTCGATCTCGATTTTAATTTTTCCTGTTTTTTTCTCATTTTATCCACGGCGGTCGGAGATAATTGGCTAAATTTGTCCGATTTATCGTCGATTAAGGTTAATTTTTCTAATTTATTTCGGCGGATTAATTCTTTTTGCGGATCCATCTCGATTAATCGATATAATTCGGATCTGAAGAAGTTTTTCGTTGCGAAATTAACCCCGCCTTGGTAGTGGAAAATTTTTAATCCCGCGATTTCTTGGGCTCCTTTATAACGGTTTATGTCTAGATAGAGATCGGTTTGAGGGACCGAGCCTAATAAACACGTGTATGGCTTCATGGTTAAAAAGAAAATTGATAAAAGCGACATTATAAATCCGATTAAAAGCCCGACGTCGATTCCGATGAAAACTACGCTTAAAAACGTTGATAACCAAACCATCGCGTCCATTTTGCTGAGTTTGAAGAATTTGAAAAAATCTTTTATTTGGAATAACATCGATTTTAACGCCATGATTATGGTGCTTGCTAAGACACATCTTGGGAGAGATGCGAAAACATGAAAATTTGAAGAATTCGTTGTTTTATTAGCAGATAATGGCATTTGGGAATCGGAGCATGTCATCAAAAAACTTTTAGAACAAAAGTTGTTGCAAATTTTGTTGTTAACAATATTGCTCTCTTGTACATTTGCTCTCAGATTCGTCAATATTGAGAAAAATACGAAAATTTAAAAATTTGATGAATTTCCTTTTTTACTATTAGCTAATGGTAGCATTTGGGAATCGAAGCATGTTATCAAAAAACTTTTAAAACAAAAATTGTTGCAAATTTTGTTATTAACAATATTGCTCTCTTGTATATTTGCTCTCAGATTTGTCAATATTGCGAAAAATACGAAAATTTGAAAATTTTATGAATTTTTTTGTTTTATTGTTAGCTAATGGTAACATTTGGGAATGGCAGTATGTTATCAAAATACGTTTAAAACAAAAGTTGTAGCAAATTTTATTCTTAACAATATTGCTCCCTTGTATTTTTGCTCTCAGATGCGTCAATGTTGAGAAAAATACGAAAATTTAAAAATTTAATGAATTTCCTTGTGTTACTCATAGCTAATGGTAGCATTTGGAAATCGGAGCATGTTATCAAAAAACTTTTAGAACAAAAGTTGTAGCAAATTTTGTTATTAACAATATTGCTCTCTCGTATATTTGCTCTCAGATGCGTCAATATTGAGAAAAATACGAAAATTAAAAAATTTGATAATTTCCTTTTTTACTATTAGCTAATGGTAGCATTTGGGAATCGAAGCATGTTATCAAAAAACTTTTAGAACAAAAGTTGTTGCAAATTTTGTTGTTAATAATATTGCTCTCTTGTATTCTTGCTCTCAGATGCGTCAATATTGAGCAACATACGAAAATTTCAAAATTTGATGAATTTCGTTGTAGCAAAATTTATTCTTAATAATATTGTTCTCTTGCACTGTTGCTCTCAGATGTGTCAATATTGAGAAAACACAAAAATGCGAAAACTTAATGAATTTTAAAAGATTTATCCATGTTGCAAGATTAATGATCAAATAAAAACCGTGTAAAAACTTCTAACTTGCATTTATTTATATAAAGTCATATCAGTTTCGGGTTACCTCATGATCAGCGACAAAGTCAATGAAGCTATAATAGGTATAGCCTGGAAATCAAATGAAAGTAAAGCATTTTGCTATCTGATGGATAAACAAAATGAAGATAAAAGATGAAATAGGAATGGCGACGTTAAAAAGTGTGGAATGTTAAAAAATTAGAAAATCGAGTAAATCTTTAAGATCGTATTAAAGATGTATTGGTGGGATGAGATGAAGAGAGACTGTTATAAAAAAACTTTTGGAACGAAAGTTGTAGCGAATCTTATTCTTAACAATATTGCTCTCTTGTATATTTGCTCTCAGATGGTCAATATTGAGAAAAATACGAAAATTTAAAAATTTGATGAATTTCCTTGTTTTACTATTAACTAATGGTAACATTTGGGAATCGGAGCATGTTATCAAAAAACTTTTGAAACAAAAGTTGTAGCAAATTTTATTCTTAGCAATATTGCTCTCTTGTATTTTTGCTCTCAGATGCGTCAATATTGAGAAAAATACGAAAGTTTGAAAATTTGATGAGTTTCCTTGTTTTGTTATTAGCTAATGGTAGCATTTGGGAATCGGAGCATGTTATCAAAAACTTTTAGAACAAAAGTTGTTGCAAATTTTTTTATTAACAATATTGCTCTTTTGTATTTTTGCTCTTGGATGCGTCAATATTGAGAAAAATACGAAAATTTGAAAATTTGATGAATTTCTTTGTTTTACTATTAGCTAATGGTAACATTTGGGAATCGAAGCATGTTATCAAAAGACTTTTAGAACAAAAGTTGTAGCAAATATTATTCGTAACAATATTGCTCTCTTGTATTTTTGCTCTTAGATGCGTCAATATTGAGAAAAATACGAAAATTTGATGAATTTCTTTGTTTTACTATTAGCTAATGGTAACATTTGGGAATCGAAGTATGTTATCAAAAGACTTTTAGAACAAAAGTTGTAGCAAATATTATTCGTAACAATATTGCTCTCTTGTATTTTTGCTCTTAGATGCGTCAATATTGAGAAAAATACGAAAATTTGATGAATTTCTTTGTTTTACTATTAGCTAATGGTAACATTTGGGAATCGGAGCATGTTATCAAAAAGCTTTTTTAACAAAAGTTGTAGCAAATTTTATTGTTAACAATATTGCTCTTTTACACTTTTGCTCTTAAATACGTCAATATCGAGATAGATACGAAAATATGAAAATTTGTTGAATTTGTTGC